GTAATTAAATGTTTGCAGAAATTTTGACACGAGTGTTTCATATCTCGTCGTTTGGCAAAAAGGAATTCTATTGATTCACAACCATTACTTATTACCTATTCATTGCAATTTCTTAGGACTAAGACGAACCTTAAATATTTCACTGAGCTGAAAATTGCAAGATCTTCAGAATGTAAATCAAGTTAAACCTTCCGACTGTGAAAGTAAGAATTAATCTCCTCTCCCCTCATGACAGAAGTGGAAAAATAATTAATTTCTCGCTAAAATACAAATTATTAGTCTTATTGTTGACGAGCCCCCTATAATTAAATCATGTTAGAATCTTCGAGTCGACGTATATTATTTCCACTGTTATGATCGATCTCTGAGAGGAGTCCTTCGAATAGAAATTTTGAACACGCTATCAACTCCCAATTATCATAAACCAAAACTACACATCAATTATCACAAACTACACATCGATTGGAGGGTTATGATAATGCCCTAACTGGTAAAATATTGTTTTGTCTTAGCTATATCCAAATGTGAGAAAATTCAAGTGGGGCCAGCAACTTAATCAGTTCACGGTTTGGAATCGAATGAGTCCTCTTTGAACGAAGTCATCCGGTATCGAACTTTTATCGCACAAACAGAACTTCTGCACATTTAATTTCCTGCAATCACAAGGTGTGTACCTTCAAAACTGTGTGAGGTTTTGGTTGCTTTGACCAGCCAAATTTCAAATTTCATCGACAAAAAGTTTACTTACCACACTTTTTTCTAGTTCTTATATGTGCCAAGAAGTGAAGTGAAAAGTTATCGATGAGGACGCAGATATCTTGCGTTGTGTTACCCCAGAAACGGTTTCATATTTTATTTTGTCTCTACCATTTCTCCACGGAAACAAAAATTGTCACACAAAAACGCGGTGGAACCCTTATTTACGCAGCAGACAGAAACTGCTGTCAATGTCAATCAGATAGTATAAAAAAAAAAGATTTTAATTCTAAAAAAATTAATCAGGACGTATTTGAAAATTTGAAGTCTTTACCAATACTTTCTAGATTAATTCGCTTACCATACAAACTATATTTTTTAATATTTACTTAGGAAAACCCGATATGCACATATACTTTCAAAAATTTTCCAAGTGGTTTTAATTATTTATTTTCTTTCTTTTTCCTCTCTTTCATTTTATTTTTCGTTCTCGCGTTGGAGTCGCAGCAGCTAGAGATCGGCTCATAGGAAATTACAGATGAGTTCACATGTCACAGTTAGAACTTCAAGTTTCATGAATATTTGAACTGGATGCTGTACAAGGTAGTATTTGGAGACAAGAAGGCGAGCAAAACTTAAAATTTCAGTTGATGTAAGACTCGGAAAAACAGGAGTTTGGATACTACGGAACCCATCTCAGTTTCCGAGCTGACGGTTACAATCATTCCCTTGTTACTGGAAATAATTAATAAAATATCTAATAATAGATTAATAGAACTTGAGATACAACTATTGTACCGAACAAGAATAACAGGAGACAAAAACAAAACAAGCGAACAAACAAAATAACGAGAAAGTAAAATGTAGGGGCCGGTTGATTAGACGAGGTCTAACCCAGGCAGCGGGCCTCACGAATTCTCTAAAAGAGTGTTGTTTTCACCATTTAAATGTCTTTCCACTTTTAACTTTCGGCTCTCTTGACACTGTTTACAAAAATAAACGTCCAGGTAAAGATTTATCCAAAGTCAAGATAGTCTAAAACGCGGTTTTGTTAAACAACGGCTGAACTTTGTTTAAATAACCGGTCTTAAATTTCTATGGTTATTTCTTGCTTACTTCTCTAAAGATCATTATATCAGGAAAACCTCATAAACATTTACTTTCCACGCACATAAATATACGCTTACACGCTTATTTAGTTTATCGAGTAGCGGTTTGTTTTAACGGTAGTTATCGTTTACCGTGAGTCTACAGTACAGTTTTCCGTGTTGGAATTAAAGCGTCTGTTTGGATTTCCCGTTTCGCTTCCGAACATTTTTGGCGTAAGCGTATTCTTGGTGTAAGTGTATGTTTATGTGCGAGGAAAGTAAATGTTTATGAGGTTTTCCTTTACAATATAATGATGAGTAATAATTTCTTAGCTTCGGCAATCAGAATTTCACGAAGCTCTCTAAAGATGCGCACGTGCATTTGTTGCATGTCCGTCTCTCACATTACTCTCTAGTACATGCGTAAACCTTTCTTTTTCAAAATTCAACAATGTTTAACGTTACGGTTGTTTTCGAAAATGCTTGTCCTTCTCTGAGTTCAAGCGCGTTTCGTAATCACATATGACCTCTAGAAACATCTGAAAGCTAATGACGTTTTTTTTGTTTAAAATAAAGAGTTGGCGACACTTTACTTCTCTGAAGAATGTTATGGCGAAAAATCCACTCAGTTATTGGTACCTCCGGGGATGACTACGACTTACATAAATAGTCGAGCGCACCTTGAGCGAGTTAAAAAAATTCCTCTTGTATCACTTACTATCTGAAGATTCAATCGACTGCCATAATATAAAAAAAGCAATCAATGTATTTCAACCTACCAACACTCAATATTGTTCTACAGGGAAGCCTTTTCTTGTATCAACCTAGATCTTCAATTGCAGTCAAAACGGATCGTAATGGTCGATTATAACCCTTCACTCCTCCATGGTAACGGTACAGGCTCAGAAAACACGGCATACCTCACGTGTGCCTGGCCCAACGTACACTCAGCTCTGAATATTACACAACATGTCAACCATTAATTTACGAGCATTGGTTCACCCCTCACGCGTTAGAAAATGCACATTTAGAATATCGCACAAAACGTTAGCCAGACAGAAAGGTATTTGCTGAGGACCGTTGCAAAATGATTGAACCGTTAAAATGAACACGCACGCCTAATAACGGCGAAGGAAAATCGCCAAATTTTGCGCGCGCGTGGACAGTTCCGCATTCAGGCCCTTAGGGGCTTATGTAATGAATATAAGATCAGCTTTCTTTTCTCCGCTTGCCGTGTTTCTGTCTCACCCTTCACCCCCTCTAACTGCACCCAATGAAACTGACTGGATCGAAAAACTTTCCCGCGCTACGCAGGATGCTTTCAAAGCGGGTTCTATTATAAGTATGCAGAATCAGAAAATTCGATCTTAGATTAGATCTTAACAATTAGATCCCTTTCTTTGACAGCGTCGTTTCTCATAGCTTAGCTTAAATTGATTTTTAACCTGTTAACATGACTAATTACTGTTCCCTTGATGTATTAGCTCTCCATTTGTTTCAAGTTTTAATTACCTGGTTATGATTCCGAATTAGAGGGAAAACGTTAAAGAGGGCCGGCTTTTAAGCCTAATGGTTAAAATTTTGGCCTTTTTACGGCTAACGGTTAATATCTTTCCCTTGTGGTCACCAGAAACGTTATCTTTTTAACGACTAACAGTTAAAATTTGTCCATTTTTACGGCTAACTGCTAATTTTTTTGGCCGTTTTACGGCTAACGGTTAGCCCCATTGAAAACCTCTTGTAAAAACCCTCCTTGTTGTAATGAAACAAAACTAGTTTTAAAGAAGTGATCAAGTCCCTGTTTCGATTGGTTGTCGCTTTCCTTGCTTCCACCACAGTTTTTTTCCATGGGACTGCTCACGCGGGGTCGTACCGGACATATAAAAATAATTTGAAACATCTTTTTCATTGCATATTTCTACTAAGCGTGGTGAAAATAAAATATATTGAATCCAGTTGCCTATCATAATTTTAGAAAATCTCTCGAGAAAAAAGAGAGGACGAGAACACGAGGTAAATACATATAAACTGTCTCCAGCGCCTGAAAAAGAGAGCGATCAGGGAGCGATTGGTTTCATGCTTTCCACCTGCTTGTTTGAGAGAACGGCACAAGTTTTGTAGACCAAGAAGAGAGCGTGCAGTAAAGCAAAACCAGTGCTAGGCCAGATTGAGTTGTACACTTAGTAAGTACAGTAAAATCGATTTTCTTCAAATCTTCGTACGACCATTGCAAGTATAATTTGAAGCCTTTCTTCAAAAGTCCCTCTAAGGTCTCAAGACGAAACACATTATTCAGTGTTCTACCATTTTCTAGCAAAAGAGAAGCATCACGGGAAGATCACGTGATTCGATGTGATATTACGGCTGTCGAATAGCATCACGGGATAGGTAGAAGCGACGTCATCTGTTGGCTGTTGATGTGAGATCCAAAGGCGTGGATACACGGAAGATACTAGAAAGCATTTGGCTAAATGATGTGAACATTTCCTCAGATATACCCTGTAAAAATAAATAAAAGAAAAAGAAATGAAAGAGCAGTAAAGTGACACACTGAATGGTAGTTTAATCTCCACACACTCTGTCTTAGATCAGTAAGTGATAAACTGCCTACCTTAGGTACCATGAACTGTAGATTCAAAGACTCTGCTCCACTCCATGTGCTGCACTCCATAATAAAACCTACAATGGGGAATTATATGTGACTAATGCTTAGCGCGGTAGACGCCAGAAGAATTAAGCAAAGGAGAATTCATAAGACCGCTTTCCGCTTAACGGTCGTAACATCAAGTTTGACGTGAAATTCGACGGCCAATCAGAAAAAAAAAAAGATAATTCCACAGCGAACAACTGAGAACTCAAATAAAGAACAGCATAATGGCCAAAGCGCGGGAAAACTCGTTTAAGCTTTGCATCTGATTGGTTGAGAGAGCAGTGCTTGGCAGAGCTAATGCTTCTCGGGTTATTTGCGACGGTTAATTGAAAACTATTTCCTCGTGACGGAAACGAGACATTATGGCCGCAACAAAGCTGGAAAAAGGTGACGAAATTTTGCGTTAAAGCAAGTAACTTAAGCGAAAGTCCTAAGAGTGGAGGAAAAAACACCTATCTATGCCGCGCAATAATTTGAATTTGAATTACATGCCTGATCATTACTTACCCTTCACACATTTGAACATTAGCTCTGCTCTTTTCATACACCAAGACACTGTCATTTCCTGCGAAGTAGTCAATAAATTCTTATAGAAAATATCACAGAAATATAAATCATAAAGAGCACAATGGCTACATCTCGTTAAAAAACACTTTCGAGAATACTTAACACCGAATAAAACAAATTGAAAACAGGAAACTTGAATCTTTCTCAGCCCGCTTGTGTGACCCACCTACCTCTGTCATTTCATGGAACAACAATAGTGGTATCGTAATGGTAGTAATGCTGTGTCTGACGGCTGTGTGCAGAGCATTTCTCAGGCCAACTATCACCGGATTTCTTGTGCTGATTGTTGATGACTTCACGCTGTCGTCCACAACGAGGTGAAACACAACATGTACCTCAGACAGGTTTGAATGCCGAGTGATATAGATGTCTCCTGTATCAGGCAAGAAAAATTGTTGGATGATTATGGTTTAGTTTAAACATAAACAACAGGTACTATAAACTCGCACAGTGAACCTCCGTGATGATGCAAATATGTTTACGATGCATGGTGAACGAAATATGAGAATTTGTATTGGAAGAAACTGCGGCATCATAACAAAGAAAGGATTAGATGAGAGGGAAAAGGAGATGAACTAAAACCAAAAATCTCATACGATACAAAGGGTCGACCACGTAAGCGAGATAAGTTTGTTTTTATTCAAAACTAGTTCAAATTTTTTCAAGTCGAGAGTGCGATCGTTCATTCCCATCCAAATCCTTATAATTCGCCCATTGCACAACGTCAACATATTCTCATATTTACGAAGGCTCGTTGTCCAAGTTTGGGCTGCCTGTCCTTGTACAAAACGTTCTCACGGCCGAGAGGAAGACTATTCTGATCCAGGGTTATTTTTCGACGAATGCAGACTGAAAAAAATGCTCTGGGAGAGAGGCCACGAAAGGAACCAACCTGTGTTTAGTGTTAATGGACGCAGCGCAACATCAGCTTAAGGAAGTTGTTGATGTTCACTGGTACTTGACTTACTGCGATCTCTTTTCTCAAACATTTGCTGAATGAGACACAGCTGTTTGTCCAGGTCTGGAAAATGAAATTCTGTTCCAGACTGCTGACAAATCCTGGCAAAATCTGAAACGGAAACGAACGATTGTAAATCACCAACGTTCTTAATTATAATTTTAGGATGCATTTGCATTTTTCAATTATTTACTTTCGGTATTTAACGCGATTGCTACAAAATTGGTTACCTCTGAATTACGATTATTATCAAGTTTTAAATCAGAGAGCAATTTCCAACTGAGTGTCGAAAGTAATCTGGGATTGCTTTGCACTGGTCCAGGCATTTCGCGCCATCTCCTCAACCAAGCAGATTCAAAACTAAGCCCAACTGCGACCTGGCCCCGGTTGTTCAAAGGATGGATAACGCTATACACTGGATAAGTCTCTATCCGGTGGAGAGCGCAGTACGTTTTGGTAACACTTATCCGCTGGATAGCGATTTATCCGCTGGATAGCGTTATCCGCCCTTTGAACAACCGGAGCCAGATCACTTGCGTTTTCCCGCGCTACAGTCGGTTTGCTTGTTTTCACTCTCAAATCTGCTTGGCTCCTTGTGGTATTTCTCTCTACTGATTGGTCAATGTAATTACTTGTTTTGCCTTTACGACACTCAATCGAAATACGCTCTGAGGGGTAAATGCAGCTTCTGTCAGTTTGACAAAGTGTTGGGGTCGTTAATTGAGCAGCAGTGGGCGGGTTCGCCTTCTACCCCGATGGTCTCAGTTTGATTCCCAAACCTACGTGAAGATAGGCTTGTTACTTGTTATCATCCTTGCTGCGAGGAATTTTCTCTAGGTTCTCTGGTCTTCTTTCTTCACAAAAACCAAAACTTAGCATTTCAGTACATGGATGTGCCACAGCTAAAATCCAGTCACCATTTTTTTCGTTAATCAACATCAATTTACATTTGTCTGAGACAAATGCAGCTGCACGATGTATCAAGAATTTCAGACTGGATCTGTTTTCCTCAACTTCGTTTCTCCGCGGAGTTAGAAATCCGACTACCTCAGCTTTAAAATACCCTCCATAGAGAGATTATCCTCTAGTTCTCCTAAGGCAACACCAGAGTACTTGCCTTACAAACTAACTTTGTTACAAGGCTTGCGCTGGCTACCCCTCAGACAACAACTTTATTTTCGTTCTGCCGTTCTGGTTTTTTAGTGCATGACGAGATGCGGTCCGGAGTATTTGACATCTAAGCTCGTCAGAAGATCCCCCGTATCGACAAGGAATACAAGAAATTCTCAACTTTTGGACATTCCACTCTTCCGCACAGCTAGCGGCCAAAAGACCTTTCAATATAGAGCGACCGCTTTGAGGAATGAGCTGCCACCTGCGCTCAAACTTAGTCCATCCGTGACGGCTTTCAAGCGTTTGCTCAGGCAAAAGCTCCTTAATGACTGCTTTAGTTAATTTTTATCTTTTATCCTTTTATGTACTTAGGTTTTATTCGTGTAATGTAGATTTGACTCTGAAAAGCCCCTCGGGGACGAGCCATA